CACCGTGCCTGGCCCTGGAAGAGCTTTTAGTAAAAACTTGGCCAGACATGGTGGCTCACGCCTGTAATCCTTGCACTTTGGGAGGCTGAGGCATGTGGATCACCTCAGGTCAGGAGTTTGAGACCAGCCTGAGCAACATGGCGAAACCCTGTCTCTACTAAAAATACAAAAATTAGCTGGGCAGGGTGATGGGCATCTGTAATCCTAGCTACTCAGGAGACTGAGGCAGGAGAATCACTGGAACTCAGGAGGTAGAGGTTGCAGTGAGCAGAGATGATGCCACTTCACTCTAACCTGGGTGAAAGGGTGACACTCGGTCTCAAAAAAAAAAAGATTATGTAAAGGCAACTAAATGTCAATTATTAATGTAACTGATTGTTATTTTGGAGTTTCTTATAATAGTCTTTTTTTTTTTTTTTTTTGAGACAGAGTTTTGCTCTGTTGCCCAGGCTGTAGTGCAGTGGCGTGATCTCAGCTCACTGCAACCTCCGCCTCCTGGGTTCTAATGATTCTCCTGCCTCAGCCTCCCAAGTAGCTGGGATTATAGGCATTCACTACCATGGCTGGCAAATTTTTGCATTTTTAGTAGGGACGTGGTTTTACCATGTTGGCCAGACTGGTCTCAAATTCCTGACCTCAAGTAATCTGCCCACCTTGGCCTCCCAAAATGCTGGGATTATAGGTGTGAGCCACTGGGTGCAGCCCTATAACATTCTTTTGATTTATAAGTGTTTAAAAATATTTTATAATGCAGGGGTTTTTTTGGTTGTTTGTTTTTTTGAGATGGAGTCTCAGATAGACCCAGCCTAGAGTGCAATGGCGCTATCTTGGCTCATTGCATCCTCTGCTTCCCAGTTCAAGCAATTCTCCTGCCTCAGCCTCCCGAGTAACTGTTTTAATCAACTGGTATGGTTGTGCACACATGTGGTCCCAACTACCCTGGAGGCTGAGGTGGGGGGATTCCTCGAGTCCAAGAATTTGAGGCTGTGGTGAACTATGATCATGCCATTGCAGTCCTATCTAGACAACGGAGCAAGACCCTGTCTTTAAAAAGAAAATAAAAGTAAAGTAAATAAATAGTAAATGAGCATTATAAATCACTATAAAGATATGTTTGTCAAGGATGATAAATACCACATATCTGATAGTTTTCTTTATTTATAAATTTTAAATATTTAGATTCTACGAGGGAAGAGTATCTGTGTCAGTAGCTGGGAGGCCAACCCAAGCTCACTGTGTTAAGTAAATATTCCCTAGGTGAACACTATCCGCTTTTCACTTATTTATGTTAGCAGTAGCATGCACCAAGTCAGAAAGACTCATAACTATTTTAGGTTTCCATTTTTTGAATTCACATCATTCAAAATTCAAAAGGCAAAAATAATATTCAATGAAAAATGTGGACAAGAAATATTGCCTGTTTCTTTCTTTCTTTTTTTTTTTGAAACGGAGTCTCCCCCTGTTGCCTAGGCTGGAGTGCAGTGGCACGATCTTGGCTCACTACAACCTCCACCTCCCAGGTTCAAGCGATTCTCCTGCCTCAGCTTCCCCAGTAGCCGGGATTACAGGCATGTGCCACCACACCCAGCTAATTTTTGTATTTTTAGTAGAGACAGGGTTTCACCATAGTGGCCAGGCTGGTCTTGAACTCCTGACCTTGTGATCCACCCACCTCGCCTTCCCAAAGTGCTGGGATTACGGGCCTGAGCCACCACGCCCAGCCATCCGTTTCTTATGTTCCGTTTGAGAGATACTCTCTGCAAATATAAACAAATTTGTACCTTTTTATCCCCCTTTAAACTATCTTAACCTAAATTTATCATGTTATTTGTACTGTTCTTCACCTTGCCTTGTCACTTAATAAGATATCTTAAAGTTTTTTTTTTTTCTTTTCTTTTTTTAAGAGACAGAGTCTTGCTTTGTTGCCTAGGCAGGAATGCAGTGGCATAATCATACTCACGGCAGTCTCAAACGCCGGGGCTCCAGCAGTTCTTCTGCCTCAGCTTCCTGAGTAGTGAGGACTACAGGTGCATGCCACCACAACTGGCTGATTCTTAAATTTTTTTGTAGAGATGGGGTCATGCTATGTTGCCCAGACTAGTCTCAAACTTCTGACCTCAAGGGCTCCTCCTCTCTTGGCCACCCATAGCCTTGAGATTACAGACATGAGCCACTGCATTCAACCTTCAAGATTGTTTTGTGTTAGTACATGAAGAGCTTCTTTATTCTTTGTTTATAACAGCATAAGTTTTTGTTTTTGTTTTTTTAATACAAGGTCTCACTCCTGTCACCCACACTGGGGTGCAGTGGCGTGATCACCGCAGCCTCAACTTTCCAGGCTCAGCCTCCAGAGTAACTGGGACTACAGGAATGTGCTACCACACCTGGCTAATTTTTGGTATTTTTAGTAGAGATGGGGATCTCCCTATGTTGCCCAGGCTGGTCTCAAATTTCTAGGCTTAAGCAATCCACTGGTCTTGGCCTCCCAAAGCGCTGGGATTACAGACGTAAGCCACCATTCCTAGCTAGGCTGCATAATATTTTATAATTTATTTACTTAGTTCTTTATTGAATGTACATTTAGATTGTTACCAATATTTTGCTATTACAAACAATGCCAAAGTGAATGATAGTGTCTCACTCTTTCGCCCAGGCTGGAGTCTAGTGCTGTGATCATGGCTCACTGCAGCCTTGAACTCCCAGGCTCAATCCATCCTCCCACCTCAGACAACTTGCTGAGACTACAGGCGGGTACCATCACCATGCCTGGCTAATTTTTGTATTTTTTGGTAGAGACAGGGTTTTGCCATGTTGCCCAGACTGGTCTCAAAGTCCTGAGCTCAAGCAATCTGCCTGTCTTGGCCTCCCAAATTGTGTTTCACACTTTGAAAGTCCCTTGCCATGCAGAGAGGAGTTTGAAATTCTCCCATTAGCACTTTTATTTTAACATTTAAACCCTTAATCCCTTCTGACTTTATTCTAGTTTATAAGAATCCAAACATTTTTTCTAGATGGCTGCCAGTTGTCTCAGCACAATTTATTAAACAATCTTTTTCCTACTAATTAGAAATGCCACCTTTATCAAGGAGTACATTTCCATTTGTACTTGGGCCTTGTTCTGTATGTTTTATGTGATTCTCCTGATCTGCCTCAGCCAGATACTTTGGCCTGTATTCTATTAGTCTGGTATTATAAAAAAAAAAAATAAATAGGCAGGTATCCAAGACTCTGGCACAAATTTATTCAAACTCCATTCAGAGCAATATATGCAATGGAGGAATTGTTCTCTGGGGGAAATATTTTAAAATCCTACATCTGCTAAAATCCAATCTTCTTCATATGTTGAGGCTCAAGTCCAAACCATAGCTATTGTCAGTATTGGTCAATGAATCTTGATTTTAGAGTGAAGCAGGTATCTGGTGTCAGGTTTGGTGTTTTTTTGTTGTTACTTCTTTTGAGACAGAGTCTCATTCTGTTGCCCAGGCTGGAGTGCAGTGGCGTGATCTTAGGTCACTGTCACCTCCCCCTCCTAGGTTCAAAAGGTTCTCATGCCTCAGCCTCCCAAGTATCTGTGATTACAGGTATGCACCACCATACTGGCTAATTTTTGTATTGTTTTTTTTAGTAGAGACGGGGTTTCACCATATTGGCCAGGCTCGCCTCAAACTCCAGACTTCAGGTGATCTGACCACCTCACCCTCCCAAAGTGCTGGGATTACAGGGGTTAGCCACCATACCTGGTACCCCAAGTGTCAGTTTTGATTGTTTTTATGGGTCAAGTTAGCATGTTGGTGAACTGTGCTTCTGGTTAGGATAACAAACAGATTCTACCATTTCTCTGCTTACCTTCTTACTTTCTCCCAAAGCATGGTTCTGGTTTTGTTTTGTTTCAATCAACAACCTACATACATTTAATTTATATCCTAACCTCAAACCACCCTCTTCCCAGTACTAGAGGCATTTTGATTTGTAGGCAGCTTTGAGACAGCCTCAGGTCTATGCCTTGTGAACCTCCAACTTTGGGGTGTGCAATTGACAGAGGACCTGGCTGTGCTCTGAAATTTACTGAACTGTTTATGCTGAGGGGAGTTCTCTCAAGGGCTGCCAATGACTGAGGACAGCAGAGATGTTAAGGCAGGCCAGGAAGACAGAGAATGCCTCTCATAGCTGCCTTGGGCTTTAGGACTATCTAGTGACCTTGTTGAGCCTTCTTTAGAATGCAGAGTAGTTGAGGACACTTCTACCCAACTTTCCTTCCTCCTTCACTTAGACTCAGGTTTGCATGATGGTCTGATGTTTCTCCCAGTCTCACCGAACTTTCTCCCATTTTCTCACACATAGGCACTTCCCCTAATAAAATTCCTGCTCATAACCCTGATTTGACATCTGATTCTTGGAGGAGCTGAATTAATGCGAGCTTCCCATTCTTGCAGCCGTTAAATGTATTGTTTGGTGGTTTTCCTACGTACTCATCATAAGCAGTTGTATGTTGAATCTTTGCTTCACTTTCCAATTGTGTGCTAGGAATAGCTCTTTTGCTCAATTAGGTATAGCAACCTGCCTATTACCCACAGAGATGCAGTCAGAAATCACTACATCTATATGGCAGTAAGTTAGGACTTTGAGACTTCAGTGGTCACACAGCAGGAATGAATGGAATATTCATCTTAAGAACAATTGGTGCCTGATGAATAACTCAAAGAAGTAATTTCAACCTGAGTTTCATAGAGGGTGTACCCAAAGAACAGAACTGTTCCCAGAGGCTGAGATCACACTTTTATTTGTAGGTGAAGCAGAATTAATGCATCATTCTGATGAATGATGAGCAGACACACCCTTGAATTTAGGTAAGTATGCACCCTTCCTGCCTTAAGCAGTTCAGTGTTTCCAAAGCTATGATTTAAGGGCAAATGTTCTTCTCTCCATCTTCAGAACTTCTGATATTCTGGAGAAACCAGTGTTATTTGAGTGTTAAAAGTCAGTTATTAATCCTTTTTCAGAGTTCCTGGATGCTGTTATTGGCTTTCAAGCATGAGATGCTTCCCAAGAGAGCTGTTGACTTCCAGTCTGACCAAATTCTTTCACGTCGTGGCGTGCACGATGCCTAAACGTTTTGGAATGTCTCTGAGATGATTTCTGCAGGTGGGTCTTTCCTCTGACTGCCTTTGGGGCTAGATCAGTCATGTCCACTTCATTGTTGATTAGGTGTTTGTGTAAAAAAGAATTTTTAAATGGTTTACTTAATAGCTCTGATTAACACTGAGTATTTGGATCCTGATGTGTCAGTTATAGACATTGAATCTCTCATCATTAAATATTTCTGCCTCTTTCACTGAGCAGAGGAGGATGTATGTGAGCAACATATGGGTGGGGTTGATCTGAACAAGAATTTAGGGAGGAGAAAATTATATAATCTCTAATTTCTTTAGGGAGAGGCTGAATCTACCTCACTAATTTTTATCAGGCTTGGCTTAAAGGCTCCTATCTGTTAATAGATCATCCTAGTTTGGTATTTCAGCTGAAATAATGTACAGCTCTACCCTAATTAATCAATTAATTTTTGAGACAGAGTTTTACTCTTATTGCCCAGGCTGGAGTGTAATGGCACAATCTCGGCTCACTGAAACCTCTGCCTCCCAGGTTCAAGCAATTCTCCTGCCTCAGCCTCCCAAGTAGCTGGGATAACAGGTGTCCGCCACACATCTGGCTAATTTTTTGTATTTTTAGTAGAGACAGGGTTTCACCATGTTGGCCAGGGGGGTCTCGAACTCCTGACCTCAAGTGATCCACCCACCTCAGCCTCCCAGTATGCTGGGATTTCAGGCATGAGCAATCATACCTGGCCCTAATTTATTTTTTCTTGGTCTTTCACACTCCAGTGTCAATAAGATATTGTGGGGTTCGGCCCTGCAGTGTCCTGTGAGCCGCTCTCTACTGGTGTGGAGATGAGAGACTGTGGAAATAAAGACACAAAAAACAGAGATCAAGAGAAAAGGAGTTTGGGCCCACGGGTCCACTGCCAACCAAAGCGTGGAGTCCAGCAGTGGCTCTGAGTGCCTGGACACTCTGATTTTATTGAGTACAAAGGAGGGGGCAGGGTAGGTAGGGTGAGGTAATGATGTTCAGTGATGGGGTCAGGTAAATCACGTGTCTTGGAGACAGGGGTCCAGGCCTTTCAAGTAGCCGAGATGAGGTAAGGAGCATAATTCGTCAGCATGTTTTCCATACTTGTCAAGAAAGAACAAAGACATTAAGATTTACGTTACTTTTACTGATTGTCTCTTCTAAGAAAAAGAGGAACCAGGTGCAGAAGCGGAACATGAAAGTGGACATGGAACGTGACCGCTGAAGCACAGCATCACATAGAGAAAATTAAGCCCCCGATGTCTGTGGACCTACCTGACAGCCGTCAGGCCCACCACAAGAGCTTGGGGGAGCAGAGTTTTCTCCTAACTCCTCCAGAAAGGAGACATCCTGGACGTCTCCTTCCATAGCTGGCTAAACAGTGGGTGCTTTCCCAGCACTGGTGCTGCCGCACAGCCAAGGTGCTCTCCGGCAGCCCTTACATGGGCGTGACAGAGGGCTTAAAGTGTCTTGCCTTAGGGTCACTTCTTTCATAATGTCACCTTAGGTTCACACTTTGCAACCCAAGGAGCATTAGCAACATTGAAAGATTATAATGAGTATATATATATATATTTAATTATCTATATCTATGATTACTTATGTGATTATATTTTTAATTTCATCATTTATATGGAAATAGGCTAAGGCTTCAGACCCTTGTCTTGGCACTTGTGGGATCTCCCATCCACAGATATACTTATTCCAGACTAAATTCTCTAGCAGGCTACTCTTTAGGAGGCCCATTGAGCAAGCCAGTAGTGTCATGCTAGATGCAGGCTCTGCTGACTAATGTGGGCCATTTAAAGTCGTTGCCACCTATAGATGAACTAGAGTGTTAATGAAAAGGCTAATCTCCAAACTACCTCAGAGCTGTGACATCCAGCTATTTTATCAGCTTTAAAACATGATGAAGAGCAAATCCTAAGAAAGAAATGAAAAATTGCCACCCGTTTTCTTACCACCTTAAATGTGCATCTATTTTGTTACTGTAAAACTTATATTGGGGTATACATACAGCCTTTACATGGTTGGATCATATGTATATAGCTGAGACAGGAGAATTGCTTGAACCTGGAAAGAGGAGGTTGCAGTGAGCCAAGATTGTGCCACTGCACTCCAGCCTGGGAGACAGAGCAAGACTCCATCTAAAAAAAAAAAAAAAGAATAGTCTGATATTTACTGGGGGCAGAAGACACCACAATCTAGAGATGGCCACAGCTTTAGTAATAAGATAATTAAGCATATGAAGGGTTATGGAGGAAGAGGAGGCAAAGAGGAAGAAGAGAATAAAGAGATGGCAAAAGAAGAGAAGGGCTAGACGAAGTGGCTCACACCTGTAATCCCAGCACTACCTGCTGATCACTTGAGGTCACAGCCTGGCCAAAATGGTGAAACCCTGTCTCTACTAAAAATATAAAAATTAGCCTGGCATGGCGGGGCTACTCCCAAGTAGTAATTCCAGCTACTTGGGAGGCTGAAGCACAGGAATAATTTAAACCTGGGAGGTGGAGGCTGCAGTGAGCCAAGATTATGCCACTGCACCCCAGCCTGGGTGACAGAGTGACACTCGGTCTCAAAAAAAAAATGGTGGTCCACATCTGTAGTTCCAGCTACTGGGAAGGCCAAGGTGCAAGGATTGCTTTCGGCCGGGAGGTCAAGGCTGCAATGAGCCATGGTCATGCCACTGCACTCACAACTGGATGACAGAGTGAGATCCTGAAAAAAAAGAGAAGAAATGAGGTAGAGGAAGGGGAGGTTAAAGAAGAAGAGCAGGAAAAGGACGAAGGAAGAAGATCGAAAAAAGGAAGGCAGAAGAGAAAGAGGGAAAAGGAAAGGTGATACATGGAATGGGATGGAGATAAGGCAACTAATTAGGCTCAAGTCTTGCTCCTTGTCCTGGAATATCACCAGTAGCCTTGCAGAGGGTATTCTAAACGTTGTGGGCATCTCAGTTTAGTGCAGTGAAATATCTCTATCTGCCGTGGACAGAATAAGCTTGAGCCAGTATGGGCCACAGTAATAGGGATTTTTGATAAATGGCAAGTCTTTTTGCCTGGCGGCCAATGTGGTTTGGAGCAGGATCTCGGACAGCAACTGGAAGAATAAGGTCAAGTCCCCCCCACCGCCATACCGCCCCCAAGAAAGGATGGTGGTGGCCGGATAAATCTGGCCAGGCTTCAATAATCGGAGAAGGGGACTGAAATTCAGGCAGGCTTCAGTCTCAGGAGGGTGTTGGGGAATTAGAAGGCTAGGGCAAAGAATCCAGGGTTACAGACTGGATAACAAAGACAGGGATTAGGGAGACATACCAGGTCCCAAACAAGAGGATACCCAGGTATCACCTCATAGGAGACACTGGTCAAATATTGAAAAGCTAATTGAAGGCATCATATGTTATTCATTTCTTCAACAGCTTTTGATTGAAGATTTGACTCATTGTTGGGGCCTGGGAATATGAAAGTAAGGAATTAATTGCTTTATGTTTGAGATCTCTGGTGTGGGAGGCAGATATACGAACACAGAGGAATCAGGGCAAGGAATCAAAAGACATTATGGTGAGCTTCACAGTGGAGAGGGAGATTGAGCTGACGCAGTTCCCAGCTTAACTTTTCCCTTTGACTTACTGATTTGGGAATCGTGATATTCATTTTCCTTTCACAAGGAAAATGGCTCTATGCTCTAATAGTTCATCCTCTGCTGTTTCTTAACATCTAGAAGAGTGCTTGGCACATAGCAGGCACTTGATAAATAATTTTTTTTTTAATTGTAGAAACGTGGTCTCCCTATGTTGCACAGGCTGGCCTCAACGTCCTGGCTTCAAACGATCCTCCCATTCAGCTCCCAAGGTGCTGGGATTGCAGGTGTGAGCCATGGCACCCGGCCTCCATAAATAATTTTTAAATAAATAGGATGAGTTTGGGAAAAGCTGCATACCATATTTCCTTCTTGAAGAGCAACAATGCACATTAACAAATTATGTCCTTTAAGAGATCAGTAGTAAAGAAAATTGTTTTTTTATTTGTTGTTTGTTTTTGTGTTTTTGAGACAGAGTCTCTCTCTGTTGCCCAGGCCGGAGTGCAGAGGCACAATCTTGGCTCATTGCAACCTCTGTCTCCCTGGTTCAAGCAATTCTCATGCCTCAGCCTTCCTAGTAACTGATATTACAGGCACCTGCCACCATGCCTGGCTAATTTTTGTAGAGATGGGGTTTCACCATGTTGGCCAGGCTGGTCTCAAACTCCTGACCTCAGGCGGTCTGCCCATCTAGGCCTTCCAACGTACAAGGATTATAGGCATGAGCCCTGGTGCCCAGCCCAAAAGTTTTAACTTTCATTCATCCAACATTTCCAAGCTAATGTGTCCACATATCTCTTTTTTTGCCTAACAGTGATGCACGTCCTTTAGAACTAATGCTGTGTAGAAAAGTTTGGAAAATGGTTACCTGCTCCATCCATTCTCCTTATATGGCTGGTGAGTGACCAAAATAAAAAGCAAAATAGAAATTTTAAACCAGACCCAACTACAGTGAAATTCAGAAATATGCAAATTGCAATGACCTAAACCCTAAGAAAAACAAAGCCTAAGATTATAATAAATGTTTTGGGAGCAAATTGTCCCCTGGTTTAGATGGAAGCAGAGCTGTCTGGACAGTCTGTTGTTTTTAAAGCATAATCTGAGCTGTGCTCTGGTTAGGGGAACAGCTATTTCCAACTGAATGCCCTCTGATCATCATTTTTATTCCTCTGGTTTGATAAGCAGGGGAATTGCTTGCTTTGGAGACTTACTGACCCCTAATCAGCCATTTACTAAGAAAACATCAGATTAAAATATATATATATTATTTTTTATTTTATATACATTTATTTATTTTAGACACAGGATCTTGGTGTATTGCCCAAACTAGATTTGTACTCCTGGGCTCAAGTGATCCTTCCACCTCAGCCTCCCAAATAGCTGCGACTACAGGCATGTGCTACTGCACATCTGGCAGCATCAGCTTTTCTTTTTTTTTCTTT